TTAATTACATCTTTGATTTCTTTGATTGTTATTGGTTTATTTAAGATTTTTATATCTTCTTGGTTCAGCTTTGGTAATTGATATGTATCTAGATATCTGTCCATTTCTTCTGCATTTTTCATCTTATTAGAATATCAGTTTTCAGGGGCTGGGGATTTAGCTCAGCAGCACAGCGCCTGCCTGGCAAGCGCGACGTCATGAGTTCAATTCCCAGTACAGAAAAAAACTAAAAAAAGAAACTAAATAGAATATCAGTTTTCAAAGTAGGTATAGATGATCTGGATTTCTGCAGGGTTCATTGTGACTTCAACCTTTTCATTCCTAATTGTGAGGATTTGAGTCTTTTCTTTCCTTTTTTTCATAAGATTGGATAAGGGTTTGTTGATTTTATTTAATCTTTCAAAAAAACCAACTCTTTGATTCATTCTTTGTAGTGTTTTTTTAGTCTTTAATGCATTGATTTATGCTCTGATCTTTATCATTTCCTCCCTCCAACAAGCTTTTGGCTTAGCCTGCTCTTCTTTTTCTAGAAGTTTGAGATTCACCATTAAGTTGTTTATTTATATTTCCTCTGATTTCCTGATAGGGGTATTCACTGCTGTAAATTTCCCTCTTAGGACTGCTTTCATTGTGTCCCATAAGTTCCAGTATGTTGTATTGCCATTTTTATTTAATTGTAGAAATTGTCTATGAATTTCTCTTTGAATTAAATGTGTTTCTTGTATGCAGCATGTTGTTGGATCTTGCTTCTTGATCCATTCTGCCAGTCTTTGTGTTTTGATTAGTGAATTGAGACCATTAGCATTGATGGTTATAACTGATGTGTATTGACTTATCCTTGTTATTTTCCTGTTCTTGGTTCCCCACTTTTCCCCCTCCCTCTGTTTGTTTGCCTTGCCTGGTGGATTTGTTCTGTTGGGGTTCATGGAGTTGTACTTCTTGTTATCTCTTTCTAGAATGTCCTTCAAAACGTTTTGGAGTGCTGGTTTGGTGGTCATAAATTTGCTCAGCTGTTCTTTGTCATGGAAGTATCTTAATTCTCCATCAGTTTTGAAAGATAGTTTTGTGGAATGCATCAACCTGGACTGAAGGTGGTTTTCCTTTAGGACTTGAAATATTTCACTCCAAGCTCTCCTTGACTTGAGGGTTTGTTCTAAGAAGTCACCTGTGATTCTGATAAGCTTGCCTTTATAGGTGATTCATTTCTCTCCCATAACAGCTTTTAAGATTCTAATCTTGTGTTGAATTTCTCAAATCTTGACTATGATATGCCTGGCTATAGATTTTTTTTTTATCATGGCTCATTTGAGTTCTATATGCCTCGCTTATCTGTATATCAAATTCTTTTTCTCTACTAGGTAAGTTTTCTGCCATGATGTCTGTGAACAGTTTTTTTTAACATCATTTGTGCTATCTCCTGCTTTTTCATTGACTCCTATCAATCTTATTATTTTTCTTTGCCTCATCTAGGAGGTAATTTCTCAGATATTATTTCTGATTTGATTTTTTTTCTAGAGCCTCATTCAGTTGCTTTGTTTTTAATCACTTCAGAGAGACCAGGTGGGTAGCTCTCTGGTTGCTTACGTCATTGCCCCCTGGGTTTGCCTTTGGTGAACTGGATGTCTGGGTTTACATCTTGTTTAAGTGTCTTCTCATTTTTTCTTTTTTTTTAGTTTAATTCCTGGGGTGATGCTTATAAATAGCCTGTGGTGGTTTGCTTTATTACTGGTATTTAAAACCCTTAGGAAATGACTACTTGTCTAACGTATCTTTTAGATGTAGCTGGTTTTGGGGTTTTGAGTCTGTTGCAAGATCCTACTTCTTCCATCTGTTGGGGATGAGAAGTTGCTGCCTATTTGTCCCAGCCCCTGGTTCTTTGGCACTGTGCCACAGTATTTTCTGTGACCCTTAGTCAATCTCAGTCTTGGAATACCAGGAAGAACAGCTGTATAGAATAATTATGTCATTTTTGGCAATAGTGGTACCATCAGCAATGACAATACCCTAGAAAATGACAAATGGAGCTAACCATTAATTTGCCACTTTTAACCATATAAATTAGATTTGTGGTTAAACAACAAAATCTAAAACAAACCAGAAAATTATATGCAATATAGAAGTCCTTCATATGTCAATTTTCCTGCAGGAGTTAAAATTTAAAATGAGTTAGGGAGATAATAGAGAAGTGGAAGAAGAGGAAGAGACTAGCAGTAAGACTGGAGGACAAAAGGGAATCATGCTTACTTTTGGGAACTTGTGCAGAAGACTAGAGGGAAAGAGAGAAGGAAGAGATAAAAAGAACAGAACAGAACCAAACCACAAAGAGTCTAGAAACCACATTCACACTCATATAAAAACAAGATCAAATCATGAAGAAGAAAAAAGCAAAAACAAAAACCATAAAACAAAAACAAAACCACAAAAGAAACAAAACAGAGAGAGAGAGAAAAAAAAGAAAAAGTCCACTTCTGGGTATGTCTCTGCTGTAACTCGTAGACAACGTGTGGAGACAGAGTCTTGATCTGTGTTGATTTATCCCAGCAAGCCAGCAGTAGCTTTATGAGAGGGTAGTGCATAATCTCAGTGAGCCTGCACCTTTTGACCATGACCAGACTCATTTAGCCTGCAGCTATCGGAGCACCTTCTGCAAGCTGAGCCCAGTTGGGTGCTGCTAGATGGAATCTGCAGCTTCTCTGAGTTCTGAGCTCAGCTGGTCCCTCTGCATAATGGCTCCCATACAATTGCTGGTTTGCATGGGAAGACTGAGCCCTCAGCACTCACCACCAGCTAGCACAGTCCTTCATGTCCGATGCTCCCCTCCACTGCTGCATCTCTCCATGGAGGCCTTTGGGGTCACCAGCAGTCACTGTGTGTGTCCACAGGTTTGAACTGCTCTTCTCACATAGTGAGTCCGATCTCAAGGAGAAGGCACCCCCAGCTACCTCCTTCTTCACTGAAGTTTCTCTCTTCACTGTCTACTGCACATGGAGAGCCAGTTTATCAAGCACCATTTGTGAAAGAGGCTATCCTTAATCCAGCATTTGTTTTTAGCCCCTTTGTCAAATAGCTAAACGTATATGGGATTGTTTCTGTGTCTTTTATTCTGTTCCACTGGTCTGTGTCTATTTTTTGTGTCAGTACTGTGCTGCTTTTGTTACTATAGCTTCTTGGTTTAACTTAAAGTCTGAGATTATGATGCTTCCCATGTTGCTTTTCTTATTCAGTATTGCTTTGGTCCTTCTTGGTATCTTCTGGTTCCATATAAATTTTAAGATTGTTGCGTCTAGTTTTGTGAATAATGTTGAAATTTTAGTAGGAATTGAATGAAATCTATAGATCACTTTTGATAATAGAGCCATTTTAGCAATATTAACTGTGCCTACTCAGGAATAGGAAATGTTGCTCCATTTTCTAACATCCCCTTAAGTCTCTTTCTTCAGAGTACTAAAATTTTCATTATATGTGTCTTCCCTTTGCTTGATTAGGTTGATTCCTAAGTATCTATCTTTTTTGAAGGTATGGTAAATGGAATCAGTTTCCTGATAACTTTCCCACTGAGTTCATTATTGGTGTACAGAAACACTATTGATTTTTGTGCACTGATTTTGTTTCTTGCCACTTTCCACAGCTTATTAGCTCTAAGAGTTTTCTGGTGGAGTTTTTTGGGTCTTCTATCTAAATGTTCACATCACCTATGTATAAAGATCCTATGACTCTTTTACACTTGTATCCCTTTTACTTCTTTCTCTTGCCTGATTGCTCTAACATTGAAGGGCAATATTGAAGATGACTGGGGAGAGTGGATATCTTTGGCTTACTCATGATTTCAGAGGGAATGCTTTCAGGTTTTCCCTTATTACCATGATGTTGGCTATGGACTTGTCATAAACTGCTTATACTAGCTTAAGGTAAGGTTGTTCTATACTTATTTTCTTCAGGGTTTTTATTATGAAAGGATATTGGATTTTGTCAAAGGCTTTTTCTGCATCTTTTGAGATGATCATATGATTTTTATCCTTAATTCTATTTATAAAGTGTATTGCATTTATTGACTTCTATAGATTGTACCATCCTTGCATCCTTGGAATGAAGCTGACTTGAGTGTGATATATAAACTTTTTACTGATTTGTTGCATTCTGTTTGCAGTATCTTGTTGAGGATATTTGCACCTATGTTTGTTAAAGAGATTGGCTCACAGTTTTCCTTTTTTGTTGAGCCCTTGTCCAGTTTTACTATTATGGTTATATTGGCTTCATGCAATGAGTTTGGCAGTCTTCCTCCCTTTCAATTCATTGAAAAATTTGAGGAGTACTGACATTAGTTCTTCTCTGAAGTGTGGTAAAATCTAACAGTGAATCTATGGGGTCATGGGCTTTTTTTACTTGGAAGATTTTTTATTACTGCTTCAATTTCATTGCCTGTTATTGGTCTGCACAGGTTTTTTATATCTTGTTCAATTTTGTTATGTCATATGTGTGCAGGAATTTATCCATTATTTTCTAGATTTCTCCAATTTACTGGAATATAAGTTTTTGGAGTAGTTTCTTATAATCCTCTGAATTTCAATAGTTTCTGTTGTAGTTTCACTTTTTTATTTCTAGTTGCTTAGATGTGGGTCTGTTTTCTTTGTGTTTTTGTTAAGTTTGGCTAAATGTTTATCAAATTTATATATCCTTTCAAAAAACCAGCTATTTGATTCACTGATCTTTTATGGAGTTCTGGTCTCAATTTCATTGATTTATGTTCAGATCTTTATAATCTCTTTCCTTCTACAAGCTTTGGATTTGAATTATTCTTATTTTTCTAGACTCGAGATGCATCATTAGATTATTTGATAATGCTCTATATTTCTAGTGTAGGCATTCACAGCCATAAGTATCCCTCTTAGACCTGCTTTTATTTTGTCCTACAGGTTCTGACAGTGTTGTGTATTTGTCTTCACAGGATCTTATGACTATGAGTTTCATGATTGTGTGTACATATTTGCCTTTCTGTTTAGTTTTTTGATGAAGAGTCCCACTATCACTGTGCACTGATACTCAACTTCCCAAAGTCACCTTTTACTGGAACATGGAATTTTACTTCCTGCACTGAACGCCATTCTGTATCTCTGTGTCAGAAATATTCAGGTATCAATTATTATCTAGATAACCACAGTATTTTATACTATTACATATTTATGATCCTTTTTCACAAAAATCTTATAAATGAATTTATATAAATTTCTAATCAAGTAACTTAAAATTGCAGCACTGGGCATGGTGGGGCATACCTGTAGTCCCAGGACTTGGAAGGCTGAGGAGGAACATTGCTGCAAGTTTGAGGCCACCCTGGGCTACATAGTGAGTTCAAGGCCAGCTGGAACTACATAATGTGACCTTGTCTCAAAAAGCCAAAAAAAAAAAAAAAAAAAAAATCACAGCATGAGTAAATTCATATTGACACTGAGGCTGATTATTTCAAATGGAATGTGACTTTTTAGGTAGAATTGCTATACTTATATATAAAAATTGAATACTTTAAGGAGTGTGTTAGTAGTTCCCTAGGAAGAGTAAGTTATTTTTTTACTTTTTTTCTTTCTACTCTGACATTTTTCAGATTTTAGTCTTTATCTTGGGAAAAAGACAAGAAAAATCTTAATTTTTTTAATGTAGTCTAGTACTGCCAAGTTTAGTACTCATTTTTAAAAAAAGATATGAAGCACTGTAAATGTATCACTGTCTATACCCTATAATCCATATAAAAGTAGAATATATACTTAAAAATAGGAATCTTGAAAAATATACTTTTAAGGGACATTACATCAGTTTTCACTAATCACAGTGAGTTCCTAACAAATGATTAAAAAGACAATTTGTGTCATGTACTAAGAATATTAAGGGCTAGTACATGTATTTCAGGAGAGGTTTTTGTTATTAATCTTTATCCATTTGTCCCACACTTTTTAGTAACTTCCTATTTCAGATAAGTACAGTAAAGCAGGAGTTCAAATATATCCTCTAAGTGACTTTGTACACTTTTCTCATTTTAGTTCTTCCAGATACAAACTTTGTAAAAGGGCACTTTTAGATATCATTCCTGGTAAAACAGTTTAGACGAAGATAGTATTTGGCACCAACCTGAAATGATAATCTTATTGCAGCCTACTTCTGTTTACAGCTTTTCTCCTTCCTAAATCAGAGCAAAATTTTGTTAGAAACCAAATATTTGAGATTATGCATTTTACTTAACATATATAGGAAGACATGCCTAATTCTCCCACGCAAAATCTAAAATAAATAAGTAGGCAAGTAATATCTAAAGCAGATTGGTAACATGAGAAATCTGAACAACTAACCTTTGACTTGCAAGTGTGGGAGTCATTGTTGTTATAATTGTTGTCGTTTTCTTTTACATGCAGAAGTGAAAGACAGACGGACCTTGCAGAATACTTCAGAGACTATAAAATATTTAAATAACCTGTACAAAATAATCCCAAAGACACTGACGTGGTACAATGCGCAAAGGGAGTGTAGAAAAGAGAACATGCGCCTGGTGACCATCACCAATCCCTACCAGCAGGCATTCCTCACCGTGCAGGTCGTGCTCTGGAACTCTTCCTTTTGGATTGGACTCTCAAGTCAAGATGTAAGGCTTCCGTCTTAATTGCCAGGGCTGAGTGATGGAATGGGACATTTTCATTGTGCATAGCATCTCTCATAGACTAAAGGAAGCCAAAGATCTTAATTTCATGAATACGGGTCTTTTGTGTCAATTATCTTCCCCAACTGAAAGATCTTGTGTAAGTGAAAAAAAAAAAAAAAAAAAAAGGTTCTAGTGGCCATAAGTACTTGATCACCTCTCTTTATTCTATTCAGCTAGAATCAAGAGCTTTCATATTTCCTCAACCAATGTAAACATGAGAAGGAAAGAATTAAAACCTCAAATGGAGTTGGATGTGTGGCAGTTCTATGGACAATGTTGAAGGGAGCTTTCCATCGCTTTCAAATCAGCAGAGAGAAGTTAGGCTACTCTGAAAAGGGCCTAGAATAGTGTTTCACTTCTCAAGTTCTGCTCCTAAATAGGTGTCTGGAGTACTTCTCATTCATTCCACAGCCCAGCAAAGAATATGCTGTCAGTCTCCCGTGAATTCCCAGCACTCACTTACATGTATGCAGCACAAACAAGAATTGGTATGCAGCTGAGCTTAAGCTGTAATCAAATGCAGGAACTGTTTTTTTTTTTTCCTTTTTTGAGAAAGCTGTCAGGAATCTTTTTTCATTTTTTGAAAAAGCTGTCATATTCTTAGCATTGTAAGCAGTTTTGCCTCTCTTTTCAACCCTGGTATGTATCTCCCAACATACCAAAACAGGTCTAGCACTATATGGAGAAAATATGGTTGAAAATAGTTTAGTCTAGTACAAACCCAGAATAAAACTAAACAATGGATGGAAAAAAAACCACAAAATTTTCAGAAGCTCACTTAAAAGTAGCATTCAGAATTGGTTTGAAGAGTAATCTCTCTGGGGCTCTGAGTCGCTAAAACTCGTCCCCAGATCAAGCCAGGTGTCCTGAGAACCGCTCTTCCAGCCCTCACAGCATCCACTCTCGCACAGCGTGCCTTTTCCTGGCTTTCGGGGCCGCGTTTGGAAACCTCTTGTTGTGTCTGTTGTGAGGGTAGCAGGAAGTTGTTACACTTCCTTGTTTTGATCAAGAAATGTCTCTTGAAAGAAAAGCAGTATTGTCACTGTAGAAAAACTGTAAATTAGAAGAAGTAAAAATGGTAAATTGGAAGAAGAAAAAGAAGTCACTTTGATTAAAGTCATTGTTTAGTGGGAAGTCATTGTTATTCAAGTAACTAAATACAAATGTGGTTTAAGGACTTTGGTATATAACCTTAAATTTATTTTTCTTTGTGCACATATTTATTTTTAAAACAATTGGAATCATACTGTTTGTATCCTCTTCCTCTCACTTAATGATAGTGGTCTGTTTTCTTATTCTATTATCTGTTTTTTTCTTTTCTTTTTACCCTTCATTTTAACATCTTTTGTCTAGCTATTTATTATATATCTTTCTAAGGTACCCTAAATCTTTGTGTGTTTTTTTGTTTTGTTTTTTTTTTTTTTGGTTTTTCTCCGGTACCGGGAACCGAACTCACGACCTTGCACTTGCCAGGCAGGCGCTTTTGCTGCTGAGCTAAATCCCCAGCCCCTACCCTAAATCTTTGGATCATGACAGAATATTAATAAATAGCATTTTACTTTGAAAACAGTGGGAAAATATTGAAAGATTTTAAACAATAAGAAATAGTGAGAATGCAGAACTTTTCCTTAAGTAAAACGAAGCTGAGTTAAGGTTTGGGAGGAAGCAGGCAGTCTAGAGATGGAGAGATCAGTTATTTTGTATAAATTCATGCAGGCATTGGCACTGGCCTGAAATAAGGCCTGTCTACAGTGTCTGAAGTAGCAGTTCTGGGCTGTATGAAGTCCAGACTATGGCCATAGCAGTGGGTCTTTACATTAAGATGTACCCAAGTCAATGGCAGAGCCAGACATCAGGACATCTTAGTGAATATCAGAAAAAAAGCAAAGGCCTAAGTTCTCAGTGAATATCTGCAAGAGGCAAAGACTCTGGAAGTTAGCAGTGATAAAATGGGCATAAAACACAAGGGAAAACTGACGAAAATAAAAGTATCCACTATCCCCTTCTTGTAGCTTGTTGGTGCCTGAAGATGGAAAAACAAACAGCCCTCCCTTGTGGGTACTGAAAAGGTGTTATTCCTTTGGAAAAGCCATATTTGAACTAAGGTCAACGAAAGCCAAGAATTCAATAAAGAGATATTTTAGAGTCTTAGTAAAGATACTGAGGATATGGAAGGATTTATCAGCAATGGAATGGCAGTTCCAAAGGCCCGGGGACAGGAACTGGTGGCGAGTACAGCATAAGAACAGGAATCCAGACCAGAACAGATCATACTGTAGCAAAACTCATACCTCCAGAGGCCCACAGCTGAGGCCACAATGGCTTAGGTATTAATTCACACACATTTACAACTGGAACTAGAATGGTTCAGGATAAAACAGCTAGTGCTGTTTGCTGATTATGCTTCCCTAAAGAGCCTATGTGTGGCCTTTTGCCAGATGCAGTATTCCCAATAAACGAGTGATGCAGATTTCCTTGGTGCTCAGGGAAGTTTAGCTCAGCGGTTCCACTACGCGAGAACTGGTTCCACTCCGCGAGAACTGGTTCCACTCCGCGAGAACTGGTTATATAAGGCTTTCTGGTGGCACCGTGGGCAAGTTCAGACAAGCCTGTACTCTGTAACTTATCCCCTGGACTTCTTTGCTTACTCTGTAAATTCTAACTCAAGATAGAGGGGTGAGGAAGCCCTTACTAGAGAAAAGACATGTTCACTCACTTCTAGGGGTTAGGGGTGGCAGTCAGTGGTAGAGTGCTTCCTAGCAGGTAGGAGACCCTAAATTCAATCCTCAGCACTGCCAAAATGAACAAACCAACAAACAGAAAATGTTTTTGCCAGGTGCAGAGATGGAGTACCTGTAATTCCAGCTATTTGGGAGGCTGAGGTGGCAGGATCACTCAAACCCAGAAATTCGAGGCTACCTTGGGTCACATAGTGAGACCCTGTCTCAAACAACAGCATAGATATTTGTAGTATATAATGAGATATAGCAAAGGAGGACGCTTCCTCCCAAAGACAAACGTCAAAACAGAGGCAGGTTTTGCCACAGGGCCTTAGGAGTTAAGAAGGGAATTAACATTTACATAGCTCTGTGTGCCAGCTAGCCACTGGGTTGTTTTACACAAAACCGTCATTGTGCCACGCTCCTTAATAGATGAGGGAATGGAAACTTGAAAAGTACTCATGGGTCAAAAGCAAGTACGCAACTGCACCAGGATAAAACCAGATACCCTTGGCTCTGAAGCCCATGTTCTTTCCACTACTCCATGGTTTTTCCGGTGTTTTCTGTTTTCCAACAACCAATACATCATTTCCAGTGGTGTATGAGGCAGCAAAGCCCAAGGTTAGAACACAGACTCCAGAGACTGATGGCCTGGGTGAGAGTCCCAGAACTGCAGTTTATGTTCTGTGTGATTTGCATGTGTTACAAACCTTTACCTTCCTCATGTGTAAACTTGAGATAGTCATAGAACCTCTCTCATATGGTTGCTATGAGGATTAAACAAGTCAATATTCATAGAGCACTTAAAACATTACCTAACATGTAGTGTTATGCATGTCTGTTAAATATAAAGTAAAATCAAAAGTCATTAGGTTGACCATATGTGTCAAAATAATAAAAAGGGGATAACACATATATCACCACTTGAGACGTATTTCTATTCCTTACAGGATGAACGCAACTTTGGTTGGTCAGATGGGAAACGTCTTCATTTTAGTCGCTGGGCTGAAAATAGCAAACAACTTGAGGACTGTGTGATACTAGACACCGATGGATTCTGGAAAACAGCAGATTGCAATGATAATCAACCGGGTGCTATTTGCTACTATCCAGGAAGTATGTGAATTTCAATTATTTTAATTCTTATCGGTCTCATAAGAATTTTAGGTCAGTGGTTTTGTAAAATCTGGTTTTATAATTAATTATGAAGTTATAACCATGTTCTTTTTATAAGAAAATTTGTTGCAAAAATTAGTACTCAAATATAATTGCTTAAGAATTTTATCATTAATTTTTATTTTAGACATGTTTACCTGTTTATATCAGCTGACAACATTGACTTTTTCTTTTTTTTTTCCTTTTTTTTTTTTTTTTTGGTTTTTCTCCGGTACCGGGAACCGAACTCACGACCTTGTGCTTGCCAGACAGGCACTTTGCCGCTGAGCTAAATCCCCAGCCCCAACACTGACTTTTTCATTTTTTTATTTTGATTTTTATTGGTACATATTTGCAGTGCCTAATGTTTACAATGCTTGTATGGTGTTGGTACGTGAATATAACACATCTTAATTCCTATTTTCATCCCCTCCCTCCTGTCCCTCTGTCTCTTGATCCCCTTCCCATTTGAAAAAGATCGTCTCCCTGCTTCATATCATGTATCTTTACCTTTGCTTTTTATTTATAATTTGCCTGTCTCATATAAGAGAAACCATGTGATATATAAGCTTGTGTGTCTGATTCATTTCACTTAATATGGTCTCAGGTGCATCCATTTTCCTACAGATGACTCAAGTGTGTCTTGCTTTAGGTAGAGCAGTACCCAACTGTATATCAGTAGCACATTTTTTTCTTTGTTAGTACACATTCGTGGTACATAATGATTACATTTATTATGGGGAGTTTGTACATGTGCTTAACAATCTTAACTATTTTTATCCCCTTTCCTTCTCCTCCCTCCTTCCTACCTCCAGCTCTTGTTCCCTTTCCCATTTGCAAAAACTATTTCCATTTTACTTCAACTTTTTTTTAAAACTCCCTTTTCTCTTCCTCTTTCCCCTGCTCCTTCCATCTCTTGTGCTCCTTTCCATTTGAAAAAGATCTCACTATTTCCATTTACCTTATATTTTGCTCTTTATTTATACTGTGGGTTTCTTATTGATTGGCATTTAAAGTCCCATTGTGACTCAGCCTCATTTTACATATACATTGTATCTATACTGTCTCAGAAAACTTACTTTTGTGGGAATTCTTTCATAATTCTTAATATGAACAGCTAACATGATTTTCATGAGCCTCTATAAAAATTCAGTTTGCTGCAAGTTATAGCAACAGCCTTAACTTAGTTTAAACCAACAGGGAAATTTAGAACTGCCCAAGTGGAGATAGCGTTAAGCTTCCTGAGGAATGGAAACTAGGGCCCATACATGCACCCTTTCACCTGTTGTGTCTGTTTTTGTGTGTCTGAACCCTGTTCTTTATATGATTCCTGCTTCTCTCTGCACATAGTATAACATGGCGGCTCTGCAACTTTTACTTATGCTATTACTGGAGATGAGTTAATGATTTCTGAATTCCACTTTTCCCATTTTTAGACTCTGAGTCTTCCCATTTTTAGACCTGACAACCTGAGTCAGGTATGCAATCTCTAGCTCAATCAAAGGAAGGTGGTGTTCAACGATCAGGGGCCCATGTTTGTGGGTTTGTGGTGAAGAGAACACACTACTTCACCAACAAAGGGATTGGTTGTGTGGTAGGGGAGATACTGCATGATCTTTAGAGCTACCATATTAACTTAGTTTGATTTATTTTGAGTAGGACATATCTATATTGTATCATCTTGAATGTACAGCCGTTTTATAAAATGAAAAGATTTTCCAGCGGCCACATTATAAATGATATTTCTGTTTGATTTGGTTAAAGTAATGATTTAGAACATCAAGTATTTCATTAAAATGTTCCTTTAAAATTAGATATGTTAGTAAGAAGAACTTTGAAAATAAATTCTTAAAGTTATAGTTAGGTGCCTGTTATTAGTAGGTTTGTATCGTTTCTCTGAGGTGGCCCCTTCCACTTGACATTTGATAATGCATGAAAGCGGAAACTGCATTTAACCTAAAAGCACCTCCTTTTTTACATTTTTCTACTCCACGGTTGGGCTAAGAAAATGGTAATAAATAATTTCCTTCCTGTAAAAAGTGAGCTTTCTTTGTGCTATATTTGAGCATAAACAGAGAAGAAGCATTAGCAGGCTATTATCTCTAGGCTTCTTGAATATTTCCTACAATTTCAGGCTAATGACTATAAACAGGAGTTAACATTATATCTCAAATTAGAATTCTCAACATCAACTCCTTTTCTAGATGAGACTGACGTTAAACCAGTTGACAGAGTTAAATGCCCATCTCCTGTTCTGAATACCCCATGGATACCATTTCAGAACTCTTGCTACAATTTCATGTTGACAAAGAATAGCCATGTAGCAGTGACACAAGATGAAGTTCATTCCCAATGCCAGAAAATGAGTAAGTACATTCTACTGTCATCATGTATTGAGTCCCACTAATTCTTTTTAAAAGTCACATGTGTTATAAATAGTTCCACTTAGTACTAATAACTGAATCTCAAAAGTATTTAGCTCTACATGATCAATTACGGTGTATTAAAATACGTAATTTGTTAAAATGGAAGTATGTAACTTCTTTACTCACCCAGTTGAGAATTAATCCATCATCTTGTGTGTAAATAATTTGGGTTCTTCTTTAAATGGAAAAGAAATTACATTAAAAAGCAGAGAAGTGGACATTAAACAAGGTAAATTTAAGGTCAAAGTAAAAATTGGTCAGCTTGAGTAGTTTACACAGCAGCCATGCTTACAAGAAGTACACATTTCATATTTTCAGCTCTCAAGACTCAGGAGGTATTTCCAGTGAAATCCACTGAGTATTTGTAACTTTTCAACAGTGGAACTAATGGAACTGTGAACTTGTGGAAAGTTCCTACACAAAGCATCAAACCATTATTCCCTAAAGTGTGTTCTGTACTTTAAGAAATACTAGCATATATAAACTAGTTGAACTTTGTTTAAACCATTGTTTGCAAACATTTTAACCATGCAGACCTTTTGTGAGAAACCTCCATGTTTAAAAACTTATTTTGAGAAATACTAAACTTGTTTCACCCTAATAGTGAACTCTAAGGAAAAGGAAGCTGTGTCTTAGAGCTCACCCAAGAGGTTTCTTTAATTACAGAAAAGTCTTTGATGGTGTCATTAATACAGGTGGATTTATGCCACCTGACAGTGAACTTTAAATGGGGAAAGTAAGGTGAATTTATGTTTTAAATTGTCTACTTAGCTACTACTTTTCCACTACACTGTAAGGCCAAATTTAACATCAAAATGTTAATAACTTAATTTGTACAATAAAATAGTTTAAATTTACATGTTTATTTTTCCATTAGTAAGTTTTAAAGGCTATTAAACTAGGAGAAAACTTTCTAAATTTTATAGACAAAATAAAGCTTTCTGCATAAGTAATTATTAAAATTATTGACTATTTAACAGATTCAAGATCACATATTCTGAATATTCGAGATGAAAAAGAGAATGAGTTTGTTCTTGAACAACTTCTGCACTTCAACTATATGGCTTCATGGGTCATGTTAGGGATAATTTATGAAAGTAAGTTGTAAATATGTCAGTGTTCTCTGTCTTATTATTACTTCACTGTAACCTATTTATCAAGCTACAAAAGTATGGCTCTTCAAAGTATATCAGTATACAAAAGTATAATCATTTAGGGGCTGAGAGTGTAGCTCAGTGGGAGAGCACTTGTCTGGCACTTCTGAAGCCCTGGGTTCAATCCCCATCACTGCGAAAGAAAAAAAATTACAGTCATGTAATTAACTTATATCCATACAATATGGTTTTTTGTTCCTCTGCCAATGTCATTTTTATACTTTTCCCAGCAACCTTAGAGTTAAATGGAGAAAAATAATTTACTTTCCCCATTTTTCCTTGTAGCAACTTGAGATTAACTGAAACAACCACACTCCCATATAAATCTCCAATACTTACTTTACATCCTTACTATGTGGGATGAATGAGAACAGAATCACTTTCTATTAACATTGCACCTAAGGGTTTATAACCTGGTCTTGAGGTATGCTTATGGTAAGCAACATAAAATGAGACTCCTGGTCTGATAATGGGATATGAAATTTGAACTAATTGCAACAAACACAAAATATCATTGATATAATTTCTTTTTGAGACAGGTTCTCACCATCTAGTTCTGGCTAGCCTTGAACTCACTTTGTAGCTCAGCTTGAATTTATGTTGAACCTTCCCCCTCAGCCTTCCAGATGCTGGGATTATAGGTGTGTGCCACCATGTCTAGCAATATAAAAATTTTTTAAATGCCAAGTCTGACATGAGGTGGGGGAAAGGACATACTCAGAGATGTCAGGATAATTGTGGAAATTTTGAAATTAAGAAAAAAAATCTGACATGAAAGGCATTTCATATGTTGATGGGCATAAATCATGAAAAACATACATTTTCCTATAAATGAGCTTAATAAGGGAAACTAGACAATGAGCCAGAGGTAGAGTAGGAAGGAAACTAAATTACTGTACTCAAATCTGACCATTTTAGAAAACAGGCTTTTTATTTGCTATCTAACCTGTTTTTTATGATTGCCTGTTGTCCCTATGTTTATTGCTTGCAGATGAGTTTGTGAAGATTAAGCTATTAAGCAATAGATAAGAGTTGGCTTCCCACTTAAAGATAAATTCATTATGGTAGGACTTAGCCTGAGTTTTCTTCTTCCATTGCACTAAATTAGGAGTAGAGGGAAAAATGGATAGAAACTAGATGGAAAGGTGTTAGGCTTACCTGACAGTGACTGAAGAAACAATGATCTTGTATTGAGCGGTCTAGAACAAAGTCAGGATGTCGACTTAAATGGTACCCTCTGATATACTTCATAGTTAGCAGAAACAAAATGTTTTCTGTATTCCAAAAAAGCATTTTCAGTGCTCAGTTTGGCAGAATATATATGAAAAAGCATTTTCAGATATGACATCTTTTAAATTTTTTAATAAAATATATAGGTAATAAAAGTTTTACTAAAATATACAGGCATATGAGGAACATGTAGAAGGATGTTTTAAGCAAACAGTGAATCTGGTTTAAATATAATTCCTATTGACTAATTTTACATCCACAAATCACTGTTTTCAGATACTTCAAAATACTTACAGAATATTTAGTTCTATATAGCACTTATACAAAGAATTTTATTTTTGAAAACCTCCTGACTTTTTAACAGTAGGATGATGGATAAAAATTACTAAGACAACATGGCAACCAAGAGATACTTCAAGCCAGGTTTTTAAAAGTGAACATTATTTAGAGCAACTTTAGAAATACACTACTCCATGTTGGACTGGTTGGAAAACTGATAACTTTAAAATTTAAAAAAAAGAACAAGGGTTTTGGAAACATAAGGTGATATAAAGAACCAAGCAAAAAACAAATCATAGTCAAGCACGTAATCCAAAAACCTCTGGAAGGCTGAGGCAAGGCAAGTTCCCAGTTTGAGCAATGCAGTGACCAAATGAAACCCTGTCCCAAAATAAAATTTCAAAGGGCTAGGGATATAGCTTAGTGTGAAGGCCCTGGTTCAATCCCTAGTACAGAAGTGGAGTGTAAATTACCTGCACAGTATTTCTGACATGTCATTGATGTAGGCAGATGTTCAAGTGTGTTGCCTTGAACATAGTAATCAGTGAAAGGTAGAAATGGCCAGGACAACAAGGTGTATGTGTAGGTAGTGATGACATCACTGTTTATATGGACTTACAATTTTAATAATCGCAGAAACTTTTAAAAAGTCTTTATTGAGACATATTCCCATATCATACAATTCAGCCATTTGAAGTATATGATTAAATGGCTTTTAGTGTAGTCATGGAGTTGTACAATCATCAGCTACTCCCAAAAAGAAATACAGCAACCCTGACATTTCCTTCCCTATGCCCACCAGTTTCCCAGCCCTCAGCAACTACAAATCTACTTTCTCCTCCACAAGTCACTTGCTCTAGACACTTCTTATAAATGAAACCATACTATATTGTGATTTTTTTGTGACTGGCTTCTTCTACTTGGCAAAAAGGTTTCACTACATCAAAAGCTTTTGATACTTTATAGCATGTGTCAGTACATCATTACTTGGTGTGGCTGAGTTATATTCCATTTTATGGATATACTACATTTTATCTATACATTCATCAGTTGGTGGACAATTAGGTTGTTTTCACACTTTTGGTTATATGAATAATGCTCTGAACATTCCATGTACCTGTTTTTGTGCAGACATGTGCTCCCATTTCTCTTGTGTATACATATTGGGTATACAGTTTTCTGTGGAGTTGCTGAATCATTGAAGAACCCTTTGAAGAACTGCCAGATTGTTTTTGAAAGTATCTGTGCATTTTCCATTTCTGCTACCAGTGTATGAGGGTTTTGATTTCTCCATATCTGTGCCAACATTTGTTTTTAGTTGTCTTTTTATATAATCACCATTCATATGAATGGGGAATGATATGTCACAGAGGTTTTTATTGTATTTCCCTGTGGCTAATGATATTAAGCATCTTTTCATTGATTACTTGTGTTTCATCTTTGAAGAAATCTGTATTTATATCTTCTGTCCATTTTTAGTTGAGCTATTTGTCTTTTTTATTGTTAAATTGTAAGCATTCTTCATTCTAGATTTAAAAACTTTGTCAGATAAGTGATTTGGAAATATTTCTCTCATCACTTTCCTGATAGTACAAAGATTTTTCATTCTTTTATTTTTTTGGCACCGGGAATCAAACTCTGGACCTCACACTTACCAGGTAGGCAGTGTGCCGCCGAGCTACATCCCCATCTGATTGTTCATTCTTATCAAGTATTATTTATCTAATTTTTGCCACTTGTGCATCTCTAAGGATTTGTCTGCCATGGGATCGTGAAGTCTTACTCCTATGTTTTTCTCTAAAGGTTTTACAGTTTTAGCTCTCACATCTAGGTTTGTGGTATATTTTGAATTAATTTTAGTGAATAGTGACAGCAAAAGCTCTGCATGTAGATATCTAGTTATTCAGCACCATTTGTTGAGAAGACTATTTTCACATTGAATATGCTTGTCATCTTAAAATAAAGTTAACCATATGTATGCACAATTGTATACTGCTTATGTCCAGAGATTTCTCTCACTAATTATGGAATATAGGAATGATTTTTTATAAAATAGTTCTGTTCATTTCTGTTGCAGTTAAACATATATGTAAGAGAAATGGATATTTGATGGAAAATAACAAAATATTAAATTATTGAAAGATGAAATGATATGTAAATTTATCTTTTTTTTTGGTACTGGGAATTGAACTCAGGACCTCACGCTTGCCAGGCAGGTGTTTATGCCACTGAGCTATATCCCCAGCCCATAAATTTAAATTTTCATGTTTATGATTTATATTTTCCAAATTAAAAATAAATGTAATTTAGTGATATAATAAATATTTTAATGAGATACACATAATCACATAACCATTTAGAAGGTAGGAAAGAAAATTAGTCATTTGAAATACTAACCTTGTAACTGTAATGCTTAAAACAATCTCTGAGTGTAGAAAAAAATGCATTTCTTCTTTAGATAATTCCCTGATGTGGTTTGATAAAACCATGCTGTCATACACACACTGGCGAGCAGGAAGACCAACTGTAAAAAATGGCAACTTTTTGGCTGGTTTGAGTACTGATGGCTTCTGGGATATTCAGACCTTTAATGTTATTGAGGAAATACGTCCATTTTACCAGCACAGTATTCTTGCTTGTAAAATTGAAATGGGTAAGTATGTGGACACAGAGTTTCCACTTCAGGGAGGAAGAATACCATGCCATTAGCTCCCCTAGTGCAAATTATGCAGTTGGGTTTTTTGAGTGCTTTCTCTGTATTCAGTTCCATGTGAGGCGCTGCAGAGCCTACATAAGAGGAGACCGCATAACTTCTACATCAGAAGTAGCTAGTCTTAAATTATTTGGTACAAATGAAAATGATCAGTGAAAACAAGGGAAGCCTTCAAGAGGAGATGACACTTGGTGGGGCCTTAATGGATGGATAAGATTTTTATAGATAAGAAAATTTGTTCAGGTGGAATTTTGACATTTTAGGCAAAATGAATGTCTTTCAGCCATGCGTAATGCTTAAATAAGTCTAAAGTGTGAGTTACATTGAAAATTTTCACAATTTAACAGCTGTCACCACCACCCTTCTTTGAGCCTTCTGCTGACACAGAGCTTGTGGTAACGGCATGCTGGCTGATCCTCTTCCTTCACAGCACTGCAGAGTAACATCCTAGAGACATTTGTGTCAACACTCTCTAGGGATTCCCTGTTGTCAATTACTTAGCCCATGTAAACTTGTGAGACTTTAGAAATTAGCCTCTGTTTTAATTTCAGGCCTCCTAACCTCCATGTTTTTCCCAGTCTGGCTCATTAAGCCATCTTTTTCTCAGTGCGACTGATCTCTTAATTGTGCTCTGTGTGGAGCCTGTCCAGCCTCATATTTGTTTCCTTATTTATGTTTTCTTCCTGCCAAGAAGCTTTCCATTTTCTTGGGGTTTGTTTTTCTTTTTTTTCATTTTAAATAAAATTTTCACTTTTGAATGCTTTAGATCTACAGAAAACTACACAGGTGGTACAGAGTTCCCGTATCTCCCACCACCAATTTCCCCTGTCGTTGGCATCTTAAATCAGTATGGTGCATTTGTCACAACCAAGGAACCCACTTTGACACATTTTTATTATTAACTAAAATTCATCCATTTTTCATGTTTCCTGAGTTTTATCTAATATCCTTTTACTATTCAAGACTCCATCCAGAATAATTCAGTCATAAGCTCTTCTTGGCTATGCTGTTGCTTCAGACTTTTCTTTTTTATGATATATACTGACAGTTTTGAAGAGGACTGGATGTGTATTTTGTAGAATATCATTCACTTTGCAATAGCTGATGTTTTCTCATGATTGAAGTGAGGTTTTTCAGTGAGGGGAAAACCACAGAAAACGAAACCTTTTCCTCATGTGATATGAATGGTATATGCTGTAAAGGTGTCTATCACCATTGATTTTAACCTGGATCACTCAGCTTGAGAGGGTGTTTGTTAGATTTCTCTGTTGTAAAGTAACTCTTCCCCCTTTCCATACTGTACTCTCTGTAAAGAAGTTACTATGCTCTCCCCTTACAGTTATCCTTCACCTTCCTGTGGGGGGAGCAACTGTGTAGATTATTTGGGATTCTTCATAGTGTTACCTATTCTCACCAAATTAAAATGTGTTGAGATGTTTAGTAATACCCTCAATCATTGTGGTTTTGTTTTTTGATTGTTTTTAGCACTTGTTTCTGCTTCTTTTTGTTTTTAATCTCATCTAAACTCATGTGAACTCATGGTTATTTATTTTATACTTTGGATTATTATCCAACAAACTACATTACTTAATATTTTGCTGAGTTTGTTCCAGCTCTGGCCACTAGGGGCTCTTTCCTTTGGGTTGAGGGTCCCTTTGGAATACCCTCATCATTGTGGTTTTTTGTTTACTTGTTTTCAACACTTCCCTACTTTCTGGATAAATTGTTTCTCTTTAGACTTAATTTCCCCTAACCCTCAGACCTGGTATTTCAAGCAGATTTCCTAAGGCCTTTACTACAGATAGACTCTCTACTGCAGTTAATCTCATATTCCCTAATGGGTAAGAGTTTTGCTATCATTTCACGTATTGTTGTTTTCTGTCTGCAACTATTATGTGCACTTCTTAAAGACTATGTTTATGCCTTTTTAAAATCAATGAGACAACTACAGTATTTAAGAGCCTATTATAGGTTCTGTGGCAATAAGAAAAATAAAATATGCATTTAACCTCTCTTATGAATAATAAACTGTTTTATTTAACTTTTAAAATGATTTTGTCATTTTATCCAAAATGTGTATTTAAAATATTTTTAATGACTAACATTTTTAAAAATGTTATAGTTGGCTACAAGGAAGAATATAATACTACACTGCCACAGTTTATTCCATATGAAGACGGTATTTATAATGTTATTCAGAAAAAGGTAACATGGTATGAAGCATTAAACACATGTTCTGAAAGTGGAGGTAATTTGGCAAGTGTTCATAATCAAAATGGCCAGCTCTTTCTGGAAGATATTGTAAAGCGTGATGGATTTCCACTGTGGGTTGGACTGTCAAGTCATGACGTAAGTCTTGCTCTGTTTTTCATAAATTTTCCAAATCTGTCTATTACTTTAAGAGTTGGAAATCTGAGCATAAAATACTAACTCAAAGTACAATATCTGGTTAATTCCTTGGATTCTGTTTGCACAGTATAGTGCTTTCTTACCATTAACAACATGCTACAAATAAAGATTTATATTTGTAAAATGTACGTGTAGAACACAAATGGCCAAGCTATCCTCCAGGCCCAGTGGATTAATATCACAACACCTCTGTAACCTATTTGGAGAAGACCAACTGCAAAGCCAGTGTAAAGGAAATAGAGGAAAACCTGAGTTTCCTCTTCCACTTATGTGCGAAGTTTTCAATGAGCAATTTAGTTAACTTTTGCACCTCTGTTTCTTCATCTGTAAAATCAGGGTAATAATATTTTCATTGAGATTTTAGCACAGAAATTTATGTAATCTGCCAGCAAAAATTCTTAACATGGTTAGGACCTATATATTTTCTCCCCACTTTTCCACATAGAAATTAGCACTGCTTAAGGCTAATATGCCAATAAACAAATCTCCTGTTTGTTTATATCTGCCACAATTTAAATCCTATCAATTAGTGTATGTATGTTCTTATAATAATGTCCGGCTTACAAAGATAGTCATCTAGTGAGATTAAAATTGTAGGTTTTATTTAATCTTTAGAATAAAGTGGAGGAAATGAAAGAAAGAAATGGTGGCAAGTTAAGATTGATTCAAGGAATAATCAAAAGTAGTCTTTCCATTTTGAGTTTCTTTAGAAGTGCTTTCTAGGACCCTGTTGCTTGGTGGCCTCTGAAATGTCAGAAGTGTAGCCAAACACTCAAACCACAAAACCATAAAACATAGAAAACAATATTCAGAACAACATGAATGTTAGGATTGTAAATTGTAATCATGATAAATGGAAGCCATTTCTTTGTCATTTAAAGTAATATATAAACTCATCTTTTAAAAAAAATCCAGAGTATAGTAGTTCTGTGTCTGACTTTAAAGTCCTGCTTAAATAGTGTCAGGGTAGGCCTGGATGTGGTAGCCCACCCTTGTAATCCCAGCAGTCAAGAGGCTGAGCCAGGAGGATCTCTGTGAGTTCAAGGGCAACCAAGGCGACATAGTGAGTTCAAGGCCACCCTGAACTATATAGTGAGACCTTGTCTCAAAAAAAAAAAAAAAAAAAAATAGTGTCAGGGCAAATGTCCCAAGACAATCTATGAAAGCAATTCTCTTGATTTCACAGGTAGGTCCAGAATTACACAGTTTGCGAACAAGTAATCAACCCTTAATTCCAGTGTTTCTTAAAGTATATGTATATTGTTCTTAATGACCTTTTTTGAAGTCATATATATGAGCTTGGGTTGTTTCTATTATTTTTAACTAGGGAACTGAATCAAGTTTTGAATGGTCTGATGGCAGTGCACTTGACTACATGCCATGGAAAACCCTAAAATCTCCTGGAAATTGTGTGGTTTTGGATCCAAAAGGAATTTGGAAACATGAAAAATGCAACTCTGTTAAGGATGGTGCTATTTGTTATAAATCTACAAAATGTGAGACTTGATTTCAAATAACTATGAATTCCCTAAAAATACGATATTACACACATGGCTACATACCCAATGAAATTTTTATAGTTTTTAAATAAGGTTTATTCACAAATTCCATAGAAATAATTTTTGATCCTTTTAAATAAAAACAAGTATGATGCATCCTTTCAGGTAATTTGTTCCCAAAGAATTTCATACATGGTATCAACTAGGCAAATTTTACTATAGAATCTGTGAATTCTCCTTGCATATAACAGTGTTCTCAAAAGCTGAGATACTCCTTTTAAAGGTGCAGTTAAGGACTGACTTTTCAGTTTTTAGGCACAGAAAATAAAAGGGATTTTTTAAAAAAAAACTATTGGAATACATGAAAAGGTTGACAAAATAAACACATAGTGCTGGTTAGAAGGTAAAATGATATAGCCACTGTGCACATAGTATAGTAATTCCTCAAAACTTAAATATATGATTACAGTACCATATTCACCTCCAGGTATATATTCACACAAACTGAAAACATGGACTCACATTCAATACAGTCCCACATGCATAATTCCAGTTACTTTGCAGCCTGGTGGTGGGATTGCAGGTTTACAGCTCAGGTTCAACCTGGACCACATAGCAGACTCTGCCCCCTTCAAAAAAAAAAAACAGGGACCCAAATAAGTGTTTGTAAAACATGTTCGTGGCAACATAATTCATAATAACCAAAAGATAGCAGTAACCCAAGTGTCTGTCCACAGCTGAATAGAGAAGCAAAATGTTGTGTACACATACACATAGAGAGGAATATTATTCAACCACAAAAACACATGCTGCAGTATGTGCTACATATGCTACAGTATGGTGAACCTTGAAGACATTGTACTCAGTGAAATATCTGATCATGAAAAGACAAACACTGTATGATTTCACTTACATGACATACCTAAAGTTCTCAAATTCATAGAGGCAGAAAGCAGAATGTTTGTTATCAGGTCCCGTCAGGAGTGCAGTTTGAGGTGTTACTTTTTTTTTCTTTTTGTAAAACTTTTTTAAAATTTATTTTTGATTAGTACATGTTTGCAATTCATGCAGTTTACAGACATCTTGGGAGTGGTTACGTGTCCACACTGCAGCTCGTTTGTTTGTGTTTTGCCCTCTTCCCCTTCCCTCCCCATTTCCTCCCTCTTCCCCTCCCCCGTCCACCGGTTCCCCTTCCCCTTTTTCCATACTATTGATATTATTTGTCTTAGCTCATGTTATGGCCTCTAGTGTTTACATTCATTGGAGTTATTAGGCTCCTGTACATGGCAACTCTTTATTCTTCTTAGTTCCCCTTCCCCTCTTGCTCACCCCTCATCCTTGTTCCCTTGGACCACTTCCCTATTGAAAAAGATCTGTCCCCCTGTCCCTTTATATCCATTCTGTACCATTTTCTTTGTTTCTACTTTGCCTCACTCAAATGAGAATGGTATTTAAGCTTGTGTGCCTGATTTATTTCACTCAACATGGCATTTTCCAGGAGCATCCATTTTCCTACAATTTCTCAAGTTGCCACTCTTTATAGTCAAGTAGTATTCCATTATATACAGATACCACACTTTGTTTATCCAGTCGTCTGTTGATACGTATGCAGGCTGCTTCCAGGATTTAGCTACTATGGATTGTACTACTATAAAGATACTGCTATTGTGTGATGTGATGTGATGACTTAAGCACTTTGAGGGAAACGCCTGGCAGGGGGAGAGCTGGGTCCTATGGAATTTCTAGTTTCAGTTGTTTGGCACACCATCATACTGATTTTTATAATGGCTGTACTAGCTTGCATTCCCACCAACAATGAAAGAGGGCTCCTTTCTCACCACAGCTGTACCAGCAGTTGTTATTGTTTGATTTCCTAATGACTGCCATTTTTTCCAGGGTACAGTGGAAGGAATCTTAAAGTTGTTTTAATTTGCATTTCTCCAATGGTCAGGGATTGTTATGGTTGATACATTGTGTCAACTTGGGGATTCTAGAGGTTTGACTAAGTGACTCAGCAGTTCTCCATCCTGGGGTGAAAAGAACAGGCCCTTCCCGCTCTGGGATGTTGCTCATTGTGTCAGTGTGAGTGCTACATGCCCCCTGGGTGGGCTTAGCCTGCTTATAATATAAGAGAGAGAAAGAGGCTGCTTGCTGCCATTCCTCCCTTTTGCTCTGGCTGCTTTGTTGTTCTGCCACCATGAACTGTTGCCCTCTGTCATGTGCCGCTCTGTCTTGGAACTAGCCAAGTATGGACTGAAACCTCCACAAACTGTAAGCTAAATAAACCTTTCCTTCCTCCATTTTGGGCATTGGATATTTTGTCTCAACAATGACGGAAAAGTAACCAGGACAGAGATGTTGAACATTCTTTCATTTATCTGTTCACCATTTGTATTTCTTCCTCTGTGAAGTGTCTATTCATTTCTCTTGCCCATTTCTTGACCAGTTCTTTAATTATAGGTGGTTTAATTTTTTTTTTTTTTAGTTCCTCATATACTCTAAATATTAGTCCTCTGTCTCAGAAGTAGCTGGAAAAAATTATTCCCATTCTGTAGGTTGTCTCTTTACACTATTGACTGATTCTGTTTCTGTACGGAAGCTTTTTTGTCTGATATAATCCTATTTGTTGATTCTTGCTGCTATTTCTTGTGCACTTGAGGTTCTGTTTAGAAAATCCTTCTCTATACCTATGTCTTCAAGTGTTTTACCTATTTTATCTTCCAGAAAGTATTACGCTTCTACTTTAATGTTTAGATCTTTGGTTCATTTTGCTTTTAATTTGTAGGTGGTGACAATTAAGGGTCCAGTTTCATTCTTATGCAAACAGATGACCAGTTTTCCCAACATTAGATGTTACTTTTTAAAAAGTAAAGAGTTTCATTTTCAAAAGATGAAAAAGTTCCAATGATAGTGTTAATGGTGCACTAAAATGTGAATTACTTAATGCCACTGAACTATACACTTAAAAGTGGCTAGCATGTTAAATTGTATGTGATGTGTATTTCACCACAGTTCAAAAAATAAGGGCTTCTTGGACAGGAATGTAGCAAACTTACCACACTATAGGCCCTTGTTCTTTAAAAAAAATGCAAGATTTCAAATTAAAACTCCTTGAGGAGGAATAGGTAGGATGAGGAATGTTTGCAATCTAAGGCACCCCAGCTGCAGACAATACTAGAAACAAATAGACTTTAAAAATGAGTTATCTCCATTTGATTCTAGTGTGATAATTTCTTTAAAATTTCAGCAAACTCCACTAGTCCTAGGGATGCCCTGGTGGCCAGTGGTTCAACATACTTTGTATCTAATGAAGCTACACACAGTTAAACCCAGCTTGACAATGGAGAGTCCACAGTTTTCCTTTGACAAACCAACTATTTTCACAACATGGTAGAAGCAATAACTTGGTAATACTATCTCTTTCCATCAAAGCCTCAGTGAGGAGTTGTCATAGTTTTATAGACTTTACAAAGAAATCTAGCAAACTAGTTCTAATCAGTAGTAGCTGGAAAACTTAGGGTTCTAGGTGTTGAACTAAAGAACTTAAATCTCAAATTGTTAGCATTGAGGAATAAAAAAAGATAAAAGCCAATAAAATAATTAAAATTCAAAATATCAAGCTTGGCTTCTAACAGAAGATAGAGAAGCAGAAGGAATTAAGTGCCACCAAAAGTCTCTTGATAAAAGAGAGAAACAGAAGCAGCCACTTTTCTGGAATCATAGAGACCACAAATAAGAGAGATTCTGCCACACTGAGACGTTGGGTTAATAATATCCCTTAGTTATTGTGGGCTGATCAGGTCCACAATCTCCCATATGACTGTATGGTGAAGGCTAAATAAAAAGAGGCAAATGGAATGATTTCAGGGCTCCAGGAGGATCAAAGCCCTCTCACAGAATTTGAGATTTTCTCAGGGCTAAAACCAAGACCTCCTCTGGGTGGTCTGTATTTATTTGGTTATCAGAAAAAGGGAGGGGAGTACTCAAGAAGGGTGGAACCACTCAAAGACTTCTCCAACTAAGGTATTAGATTAATCCTTAATAAGGATCAAGTTAATCCACCCAGAAGTGAGATGCCTGAGGCTATCTAGTTGAGATTGAATCTAGGTATCCTTGGCTGTGATCTTATCTTGTCCTTTGAGGCTTTCTGCCTTCATCCATCATTACAGGTTTTAGCAGGGATTAGTGACTCACAGAGGTCCGCTTACTATGAGTCCACAGCCCATCTCCAGACAAGGAGCCTAGGCCTTGGACAGACTCACAAGTAAATATGAAAAGTCAATTGGTTAATTTTAAATCCTACTCAGGGCTGCTTCATAGTGGTCTTCATCACTGAGACCTGGAAAAACCAGAAAGAGCTTTCAGTTACTGGAGGAGGTGCAGACCACATGCACAACAATCTGGGTTGAAATAACTCTGACTAGTCATACGCTCTTCTATTGAGATTAATTATAGGCATTAAGGGGCAATTGTGTCATCACAAGGGCTCATTATGTTACTTAGCACAATGAAAAATCAAACAGTTTAAGTGGAACCTGTTTTTTGTTTTTCTTTTTAAGAGCTGAGGAGCTATACCTACTGTTATTGGTTCATGAGAGATTTTACTATACTGATAAATTATGATTGGTATACCAAATTACCACGATATTACTTAGGAGTGTACTTCCTAAAAATAATTCTCTGTATGTCTAATTAAATATAAGTTTATATTTTCAAAATAAAGAGGCATCTAAGGAGGTAGAAGGTATGATGGGAGATGGAGGGAAGAGGAAGTAAAAAGAATCAAGATGTGATCTGCATATTTACTCTGTATTGCAAATGTATACTAATAAGACAATTTTAATTATTTCAGAGTAGTTTCAGGCCTACCCACCCTACATTTGCTTCTCTCCCCAATCTGTCTTTCTAGTTGTTTTCACTTTAGTTTAAATTCATATTAGAGGGCTAAGTACATTACTTACTGTCGTAAGTTTTAAAAATGGTATTCCAGAAATCTAACTGGAATATGTATTCACAGAGGATAGCCTGCAGCTTTCTCTGGTAGGTTTATTGAGTTACATACTTCTTACCCACAAAAACAAGAGTTTCATACAGGGACATTTAATGTCATGTAGAAAGACAGTCACTGCTTTGTCCATTATTACAGCTGTGTCTAACATTTTCACAGCAAAAGAGCTGACCCTGCATACATATTCATCAAGATGTCCAGCAGCAAAAGAAAACAGGTTGCAATGGATCCAGTACGGGGATTACTGTTATACGACTGACCAGACATTGCACAGTTTCTCAGAGGCCAGACAACTGTGTCAAAAACTTGGTGAGTTAAAATTTGTTTTCTTTAACTTGATAATTTAATTCTTAGAAATTTTTCTTTAGGAAATAATTTTAAATAATGTTTATAATTTAGAAAGTATTTTAAAGTACTTGCTATTTCATAATAGCATTATAACCTAGTTGCCCTCAGTAGGGAAATGATGGGGAATTTATGAGGTAAGTGCTCAATGGAATATTGGAAAGCTCATTAAAAATTATCAGTGTAAGAATAAGTACATGGGACGTAAAAGTAAGTGGGAAGAAGAGGGCTTTAAAAATGCCAAATAGGTTGTTGAAAGTGATGACAAATAAAACAGTTTCAAATATAGCTAGGTATGCTTAGCTAAGAGGATTAAAAAGCAAAGTTTTTATAAAGTTGCTAGGTAGTAAATACAAAATTATAGATCGCTGATTAATTACTAACCAGTTAAGCTTAGTCTGACCAGAATAACAAAATCAAACAAGCATGGGCTGAGCATCTGTGCTGAATAGGATTGCTCCACATCCTTGAAACACCATAAGGTACAGGACTTTGTCCTCAGATTTCGCCATTTGAGAAAGAGCAACAGAGACTGGCTCTCGCCCTTGATAACTTTAGCCTACAGTCAAAATGTAAAATGACCTCTGAAAAAACTACCTGGAGAATTTCCAAGACGCAAACTATTTATCTGCATGTTTGGGTAGCAGTTTAGCCAGGCAGATGGCATTTAGCTCATTTATTTTGCTATATCTTGTGAAGACAATTGACTGGCTAAAATATCTCCTAGTTATTGCTTAACTACATAATGAGAATTTTAATATAGCATTATTGTGTGTTATACATTTATGTACATGACGGAAACTATTATAATCTGTACATGTAGTCTGAAAGTCAGAAACTCCTTCCTCCTGAGGAAAGAAATAAAACAGATTTACTGTAAAGATAGTGTGTAGGTTAAGCATTTAAGCTTTTGATGTCAGTGGTAAAGGTTCAAAGTTGTAGCTGTCACAAGTACCAGCTAAGTGACATCGTGGAATTTACATATTGTTTCTGTTTCCTTATCTAAACAGTGAGAATGAAAGTAATACTTCAAAGGTTGGTACAGTTTGGGTAGTTGTAGGAATGAAATAAGATAATATATACAGATAAAGCACAGTGCACAGTAAAGAGTGAATTCTCAAAACTATTATTCTTATTAAAAATATTGAGATTGGCCCAATACAGTGTCACATGCTTATAATCTCAGCTACTCTGAAGCAGGAGGATCACAGGTTCAAGGCCAGCATGGGCAATTTAGTGAGATCCTGTCTTCGAATTTAAAGTTTCAGAATTTGGGATGGGGATGTAGCTCGGTGATAGAGAGCTTACTTAATGCACAGGCCCTTGGGTTAATTCCCAGTACTGGAAAAAGAAAAGAACAAAAAAAGGGAAAGTTTAAGAGTGTCTAATTCTGTAATTGGCTGTGTGAATATGAACAATCAATCCTGAGCTTCAGTTTTCTCGCATATTCCAGGTAGCATCTACCACACTGTGTGATACTAGCCATGGTAACATATAGAGAGAGCATCTGCACATTGTAGTGGCCTATGAAGGGGTGAAGCTTTCTTTTTTCTTTCTTTCTTTCTTTCTTTCTTTCTTTCTTTCTTTCTTTCTTTCTTTCTTTTCTTTCTGTCTTTCTCTTTCTTTCTTTCTTTTCCTTTTCCTTCCTTCCTTCTCTCTCTCTCTCTCTCTCTCTCTCTCTCTCTCTCTCTCTCTCTCTCTCTCTCTCTCTCCTCTTTTTGTTTTTAGTTTTGCTTTATTGAGACAGGGTCTTGATTGGGCAGCCCCTGCTGCCCTTGAACTCACAGCAGTCCTCCTGCCTCAGCCTTTCAAGTGCTGGTATCACAGGCATGTGCCACCATACCTGGCTCTCCTTTCCTTCTCTTAAGATACCTCTCAACACAAAAGAAATGCTTTCGGTCAAGTATGCATAGGCTTGTTGCTGGCATAGATACTGTAGTTGATTCTGTTTTGGACTGGTTTCCAAGTCTATTTTTTATTTATTTCTACCTCTTACCAGATGCTGGTGATAGTACTATTTTCTCTGTGGGTGTAGGGAACCTATCAAACTTCACAGACGTTCGTTCGTTCAATTCCAGGCTATTTTTAGGAACTCCAGTGAGCATAACCAAGTACATTTATGTATAAAATAGTATGAAAGGAGGGCTAATAACCTTAAACCTATTCATTTTTAATTCCACTTCAGCAGAAGCAAATTTAAAGCTGAGCTATAAAAAAAGCTCACTGAGGAGAAAGCACTAAAAATCTATAGGGTGACAAATATTTCTACCATCACAAATTGCAGTTATTATGATTAGTTGTTCAAACAAAAAGATCTTATTAGTTAGGCAGTTCTGAGATCAAAAAATAGTGCCAGTTAAATATTTTTAAGAAATACAAAATTTCTATATACAAATTTTCAGTTTGATTATATTTCTAACTGTTTTGGAGCTATAAAACTTTTAAATTTTGATGCAAACACTGTTTTTTAAAAACAATCCCTGTGTAAAGCTTGAATATTTTAACGATCTTGTTCATGATAGATTTTTTCAAGTGATTAGTTCACAATAAACCATTTACCAGTTTACACAGAGCTAATTAGGTGCAACTTGTTTTCCTTCAATAGATCATTCTGCAACTATTGTCAGTATAAAGGATGAAAATGAGAATAAATTTGTGAGCAGGTTGATGAGGGAAAATAATAATATTACCATGAGAGTTTGGCTCGGCTTATTCCAGCATTCTGTTGGTAAGTGACATATTTGCATGTGCAGTGTGCAGAGGGCGTACTAACTTGTCCTAAGTACCCAATCAGCCTTGCTGAAGAATGTCAAATGGTGACTGATTCATTACAATGCTTTTCATTGATGAGCAAGCTAGGTCCACTGGCTGTTCTGGAGGACTATAAATTTTGAATGAATATGTAAGTAAGTTATTAGTAATGATGGGGAATCAGGTCAATTAAAATTGTTCTAGAGACTTATTCCTAAGATCCTTGGATCAACATCAGGGTTTTTGTTTCCTACAGCAATGTCTGTGTCCCTTGTCCCCAGGAACCCATGAGTTAACTTTCTTTAGAGTCCTAGTGCCTATCACTCCATGGTTTTGCCCCTTATAACTCTGTTATTGAGAAAATTATCTTATTATTCCTTTCCCTCTTAGGATATTTTTACCATCAATCAAAATTGTCTTAGGTGATTTTACAGATAATTGTTTTAAAAAGAAAGATACAAATTTGATAGAAGAGTAGGAGGTATGTTTTATGTAACTTTATGCAAAGTTGAATTTTAAATAATTTAAACAGGGCTGGGGATTTAGCTCAGCGGCAAAGCGCCTGCCTGGCAAGCGCAAGGTCGTGAGTTCGGTTCCTGGTACCCGAGAAAAAACAAAAATAATAATAATAATAATAATTTAAACAAATGTGAATTCTAAAATATTAAGTACTTTTCAAAAAATAAATAGATTGGAATGGCCATCAAGATGAATCTGAACTTGTGTTTACCCTTTTACCACAAGGTGGTGCCGCCTTAGCTGAAAAACAGTGAAGTCATGGTGCTCTGCTGTGGTGAGGAGAATGTGTCTTCCTCCTCCAGAGCATGACTTTAATGACAAGAGCTTTCTTAAAGAAGAGGGCATATTGATCACCAGACACCTCTCTCACACAGTAAATGTGCAAGCTTTCTGCACATTAATCAAAATGCTATGTTCTATATCAGTGTCCAATAGAAATTTCTACACAGATGAAAATGTTCTATTTCTGCACTGAGACAGTAGTCACTAGTCACGTATGGCTAAGAAGTACTCGAAATGTAACTGGTACAACTAAAGGAGTTATTTAGTATTTTTTCATTTTTAATGGATTTCACTTTTAAATAGTGGCTATCATATAAGGACCATGCTAAGTAAATGATTTATTTGAGCCACATACTTTTACCTCAGTCATTTAGTAGTAATGCATAGAGTTGTATTTAATGTCTTTCTTCAGATCAGTCTTGGAACTGGTTTGATGGATCAGGAGTGACATTTGTCAAGTGGGAAAATAAAAGCAAGAGTAGTGATGGAAAATGTAGCATTTTGTTAGCTTCAAATGAAACTTGGAAAAGAGTTGAATGTTCACATGGCTATGGAAGAGTTGTCTGCAAAGTTCCCCTGGGTAAGTATGTAATTTGTCCTTAAGGAACAGGTCAAGAAATAAATGTATATAGCCACGCATGGTAAGACACACCCATAATCCTAGCACTTGGGAGGCTGAGACAAGAGGATTGCCACAAATTTGAGGCCAGCCTTGGCTACATAGTGAGTCCGAGGCCAGCCTGAACTGCACAGTAAGACCCTCTCTGGAAGAAAAAAGAACAAAAACAAAAAAGAAAAGAACAGTCCAACTGTGTGCTAAGTTTTTGTCCTTGGTTCTGAAGTATTTATAAGGTATACCCAAAATTTTTCATTAAATCATAGATTTTTTTCTCTCTGAAAAAGAGATTATAAGAGACAGTAAGTACATAAGATATCTGAGGCTCCCAAATGAAGCTATTAAACAGTCTAAACTTTATATGTAATTCTTTTCTAAGAAAAATTGACACTGCCAAAGTACTAGAGAGGTGATTTTTTAAAACATTAAGATGTATTTTATTCTATAGTTTGACTATATAAAAGCTTGAAGATCTATTTTGCAGTTACTTTGCTTCTTTTATCCCCATTCCCATAAAACTCAAGATTAATTTTAGGATACTCTAAAACTATATTTAACTAATGTTTAGGGTATCTGTAGGAAGTCATGATTTGAACTCCTGTTTCATTAATTGATATGTAAAATCAACATTAAAATATTATTTTAACTTATTTGTAGAAAACAAGCTCTAAATATTTCAACTAACACTTTGGAAATTCTAACATAAAAATTTCCATTCTGGTGTATAAGTATTAAAGGTACAGCTCTGAATGTAGGCAGTTGGTATCTATTTATACCTGCATTGATTTAGCGAATGTTTGGTGTCTTCTCTCTGTTATGCCCTCTTCTCCATGCTGTGCACCTGTGAACAAGGCTGATCAGCTTCCTGTCACAGAGCTTACAATGTAGTGGAGGAGGACAGAGAAGTAAACAAGCAGCTCAGCTTTTAAAAGACAAGAAAACATGAAATAGTTCTAAACCTTGTGTGATGGCAGATAGGTGGGTGGCTATTCCAGGTAAGGTCATCAGGGGAGATGTCCAAGAGCAGGAGGCCCTGAAGCTGAAATCTGAAAGGTCAGCTGAGCACAGCTCAGGGAAAGGCGAGGCAGGTGGAGACCCAGGCGAAGTAAAGAGATCAGGAAAGAACTTGAAAGAAGGGAGATACCAGACATTTAAGGTTTGGAAGCAGAAGGGTGAAGAGTTCTAGCTCTCTTCTAAGTGGAACGGAAAGCAACTGGAAGCTTTTAGAAGGTAGGATAGGGCAGGTATAGGATGGTATAAATCAAGAGTTCTATTTGAGCCATTTTGAGTTCCCCATGTGGAGAAAAGATATCCACAGAAAGATGTCAAGTGTGCAGCTGAATATACAAAAGGAAGGGGAGATCCACATAGATTGTATCTAAAGTCATAGGGGTAGGGACGGGATGTAGCCCAGTCATAGAGCAACTTAACTGCAAGAGCCTGGGTTCCAGCCCCAGCAGAGGGTGAAGGGGAATAGATAAGAAAGCTGTAGAGAAGAAGTCTTGGACAGTATTTGAAGTTGAGTAGCAAGGAACTAAATGAGGTCATCCTAGAGGCAAAATCATTTTGAAGCAAACAGTACTCTGTTTGGCCATATGTGAGTCAAACACAAAAATTTATAGCTTTTAGCAATTTGCTATCAAAGTAGGACAATATATAAGGAGTGATATTCCCAAAAGAGTGACGGTGAGAGAAAGTGAAAAAATGGCAATGCTTTCCTCTTCAGAAGAAAATTTCTATAGCAGTGAAGAAGATTTGAATGAAAAGGAAAGCACTGAAGTGTTTGATAAGTGTGGATTTTATGTGAAAGCTATGAAACAGTCAGGTATTTACTGTCTCTAACTTGTACATGGTTATGTATGTGACACACAGTTTGATAGTGATTCCTGGTGCATTCTCTCCTCTAATGTCCGCTTTCCCTCCTCCAGGTCCTGATTACAAAGGAATAGCCATCACCTTTGCCGTGCTCAGCAGCGTAGCTCTCACCGGTGGGCTGATTTGGTACCTCTTCCAAAGAAACCGTTTCCGGTGGGCAGGATCCTCATCAGTTCGGTACGAGCAAGGAATGAATGAAGATGAGATTGTGTTTCCTTTTTTCCACGACTAAACTCTCCTAAAAGTTTGCTTATTTGCACTAATGTGTTGGGGAAAGTGAGCCACTTAAAACTTTCCCAGTGTTAGTATTTACTGTGTTTCAAAGTAGAAGGCTCAAGTACTTCTTCAGTTGGCTATTTGCTGTGCTGATCTCCACAATTGTCTACTAAATGCCATGTTTATAATTCTGTTTACTAGAATGGGGTGGGCTAGAGGCTAGAACTGAAGTCTAAATTGCTTATAGGACAATATGTTCAATTAATGTCACTTTCTCTGTAAGAATGTGTTAGTAACTAGGGTATGCATATATTTTAATGGAATTTTTAACAAAACTTAGAAAATTTAAACTGGCATATTAGTAGATCACACATTTACCTTTTAATTTTTAAGAGCATCTGGCTAAATGCAAAATTAGTACCTCTAGGTAAAAAACCTTACTGTAAGTAATAGCAGCATTACTTCAAAATAGTCATTTGCAGCATTTGGGAAAGAGTATTAATATGACTTGCTTACCTTTTACACAACAAAATGATGCCTCTTGGCAAGATGCTTCTTATACTCCAAAGATATTTTATACCAATGTTATTTAAATGTCTACATTTTTATTCAGAAATAGCTTTAAAGATTTAGTACTGAAAACTTTCTGAAATGTGAGAACATTATTAGATTTATTGGATACCCTGTAGCAATGTATTTTGTGCTTCTTGATTTAAAACATATGATGTTTAAAAGGACTCAACTAGGGATGCAACTATTTGAAAATTTTACAATTTATATCCTTCACGTAGCATGTCAGCTTTTTTTTGTTGTTATTGGGGATTAAACCCAGGGCCTCACACATGCTAAGCACACACTCTCCTGTGAGCTACAACCTGAGCCCTTTTTATTTTTAAATTTCAGACCAGGTCTTGCTAAGTTGCGCTGTCTGACCTCAAACATGTGATCCTCCTGTCTCAGCTTCCCAAGTACCTGGGGTTACAGGAGTGTCACATCATATACACCCAACATGTTAACTTGACTAGAATTTTAAAAATTCATTTATTGCCTTTTTACAAGTGTTAACCAAAGAAGGTGTCTGTGAAAGAAATTGTATAAACTGCATTTGTAAAAATGAGAGAATTTTACAGTGAAACTGTGAGATCATCACTAAAATATTTAAGATTTTGTAGTTAATACTTCCAATTTTACTACCTAGAATATATTAATACTAGTTTCACTAGGCATAATGTTTTATTGAGTTTTTAACTTATATTGTAGTTTATTTTTGTATAAAATCCATAGGTTTAAGTTTAGAGCATTTGTACTATAATAATGTAAATAATTTTTAAGATAATTTTAATGTAGTATACAATTGCCTTAAAATATTTCATTGAAGCAGCTTTCATATTTTACTTCCTTTGACTTGTGATCTGTACAATGTGATCTGTACAATTCCTCCAAGAACTTAATATGAAAAGCACAGCTGTAATAATGGTGATGCATAATAAAGTTGTTTTCTTTTATCTTTAAGTAAATGTATTAGAGTTGATCCTTGTTGAATAAAAGCACCTATAGATTGAGCTTTATTATGTTGTGTGTATACTATGATGAGTATATAGTGTCTTACTATTAACAGTTTTATGGGCACTTTTTAAAGAATAAACAAAATCATTCCTACACCTCCGGGTGTTTGGTTTTATTTTCCTTTTTAGACGCCTCTCGCTCAGTTGTTCTCTATCAGAATCTGCAATCTATCTGTGCTCCATTTATTTCTCATTCTTCCCTCTCCCTTGAAAATCCTATCTGCCTGCTCTTCTCTGAAGCTTTTCTAAGTTCATAGTTCAAATATATAGTTCCAGGTCCACAGTCCCAGCTACCTACTGAACAATCTCCATGGAACCTGTCCAGAACTTTCCCAATGGTCTCCCCTCCTCATTTCCCTGTGGTAGATATTGTGGAAGAACTAGCAACTGACTCTAGTCTTCCCTAACTAACCTAACCTCTGTAGAAGGCCTGAAAACGTTTACCTCTTGAAACTAGGTTCCTAAAAAAACAAGTAAATCAACTTAATGATACTGGAGATACTGGAGACAAACATAGAAGTGATACCAAGAATCACCGCCTTCTCTCCCCCACTTACCAGTCTGCACCATGTTTCCCTCCCTGATTGTAGGGCAAGATGTTTTTATCATCTGGAAATTCACCCCTGCAAATGTTTGCTATGTAGTGTTCGTAACCCCCATCCTGACTCCACGGCTGAGATTTTTCTGGACAAAGTCAGAGGTTCAGATTCCTTCATGTAGAGTTTAGGCTCATTTAATCCTAAAACCATTTTGGAGATACAAAGACCTATTTGTTTTTAATTAGTTCAATAATTTCATCTTGCTTAAAACAAAGTTTAACTAGTTCTCAAATAGTTTTAAGAAAACAAACGACCTCATGATCTGTACAATTGTCTCTAAATCCCTAGATATTCTAAACTAAATCATCCTCACTATATCTACATTTCAGCAAATTTAGTATACATGTATTTCTCCCCCCCAACTAAATCACAATTGGCACTTAAAAAACTTCTATTCTATTCCCACAACCAGTTTTTTTTATATTTTCTTTCAATTAACATGAAGAAAGCATAGTCTCTACCCCATGCTAGAAACCCAGATGTCATCCTCAGATCCCCTCTCTCGCCTCTCCCTAATCCACTGTTCTCTCAATTTTACCTCACAATTCTCACAAAGCCTATTTCTGAATGTCCACTGCACTGTTTCAGGTCTTCATCTTTTTGCTGCTCCTGGATGATTTGCGTCTGCCTCTTCTCTTTGCCTTTCATCCTGTTTTCCCCAATCTTGGTCTAGAAAAACTGAAATACACAGAAGAGAACTCATGCTCTGCTCGATTGCTCAGCATTGCTAACCCCAGGGCCCTTTCCCAGGGACCTACGTGTGTTGGGTAGCAATCTGGAAAAATCCTGGGGCTTCCTACCCTGAAATAAAACTGTACTCTGAGAATTAGAAGACCATTGGTGATCTTACCCAGTAGAAAGTCAGCAAAAGGAGGAACCCACAATCCAGAAGAGAGTGAGCTGAAAAGTTAAATTTGGAAATGGAGAACATGAGATTTTGAGAAGGCTAGTGGAAGTGAAAGTCAGGACATATTTTGAGAAGCATGGTGGATATGTAGGGGAGAGAAAAAGAGTCAGTAAAGGAAGACTGTCTTGGAGAAGATGAAGTAAAAAGAGTTTTTTGAAGCCCACAAAACGGGGAATTAGGTTTGAGTGGGACAAGAAAGTATGCCTTCCCTTCTGAGACCACAGAGGAAGACATCTGTGATGGCCCCTGCTATAGTTGAGATCTAGAAATGTCTCACAGGAACATTCAGAGGTGGGGGTTTTAGAAGGTGACTGTATTACTGTAGTGCTGTATTCATGGGTAGGTTCATCCACAGACGAGCTCAGAGCTAAATGTGCTGTTGGGAGTGAGCCTGGTAGTACGAGGCAGGTCACTGGGGACGTGACCTGGGAGGGTGTTACGTTCCACACCGGCTCCTCTCTTTTCTCTCTTTTCTGGACCAAAAGCCAGGAGTGGCTTTCCTCATCCAAGCCCTTCAGCTGCACTGTGTCTGTATTTAAGCCTGTAGAACCTGAACTGAAATTTCTGAAACTGTGAGCCAAAATAAACCTCTTTTCTTTAAGTTACAGACATAAGGTGTTCTGTCCCAGAGATGAGGAAAGTGACTGAGACAGCCTGCGTTTCCCTGATGTGTAAAATGTGGTTCTGCTGAGAAAGACAGGGGTAGTATATGAGGTCTTTCCTTCAAAAGACTAAGAAAAAACTGAAATCCCAATGAGGAGAATGGGAGAGCACGATGACCAAGCCAAAACGAAGGAAAACTTTATAGAAGAGGCATACAGGATCCAGTGAAACTCAAAGCCATCTATTTGTAGGGACATCCATCAGGAGAACTGGTGATTTCCTCTTCTTTTTTTTTTTTTTTTGTTTTTCTCCGGTACCGGGAACCAAACTCACGACCTTGCACTTGCCAGGCAGGCGCTTTTGCCGCTGAGCTAAATCCCCAGCCCCCGATTTCCTCTTCTTGTCCTCAGTCATGTGAGTAAAACTGAGGAAAGGGGTGTGTGAAGAAGAAAGTGACTTGAACCTCAGTGTCGGCCAGGTAGCTGCACGTAAGGAAGTGGGGACAGGGGCTCTGCTTTCCAGGCTGGATACAGAGGGAGAAATAAAAAGCTATGGAGATGAAATCAAGGAACTGGAGTCTGGAATGATACCAGAAAGGCAAATTGAACTGAGAGAGGAGAAGTTAAAGGTATGATGTGTGACTGGAGCCCCGGGTATTATAATGAGAGATTTTGGTGAAATACCACATCCCACAAAGAGCAATAAGTAGTTTGTTTTGTCAGCATAAAAATGAGGCAATGTGCACTAGAGTTAAGGAAAAACTAAACTTTTCCCAGTTCAAATGACTTAGAAAAATGCATTGCTGAAATGGTTTTCTTAAGTTAGGTTGATTCGTTAGGATGCTGATTCTATTAAAAATCTAAGGAATATTTGAAAATTTAGTTTACACCAAGTAATCCACATTAATAATATATAGTGTAGGGCTTGAGATGGGAGTGGAGAATCTTTTCAATTTCATGATTACATAGAAATGTTCATTATACTAGTGTAGGTAGCAGCACAAAAGAACCCCAATTCAAGATGGTTCAGTATTTATAAGGATGCAACTCGATACCTTACTCATAAGTGAAATAAATCAGACCCACATATCAGGCTGTTTCCCTAGAGTGAGAAACTGAATGAGTAAATAAGATCCAAAGTGTACAATAGATATTGTGAATTGGGAAGAAACTGCTCAAAAGCAAAGAGAAATTGTGAAGGAGAAAAGAGGAAAAAAGGAAGGAAAAGGAATATATATATACACGTATATATATATATGTATATATATATATATATACACACACACACACAAGATAGTTAAGATAGTTATACAGCTAGTTTTTCTTACTTCATTGAAAAGAAAGGTTTGTGCTGATATTGTTTGGGCAATATTTCAAGCCTATATGTTGTATTCTGAGTACTATGAAGATAACAATATGCAGTGTGTTAATTATTGTTACTTTCTTATTAGCCCGTTTTGAAACTTTTATCTCTTTCTTTTAAAATATTTATAAGAAAAATACATTTAGAAGGGGCTGGGGATTTAGCTCAGCGGCAAAAGCGCCTGCTTGGCAAGCGCAAGGTCGTGAGTTCGGTTCCCGGTACCGGAGAAAAACCAAAAAAAAAAGAAAAATACATTTGGAAAGATTTGCTTTTGGTTTAGATCTGCTACATAAATGCACTGGAAAGGGAGAACGAAAATAAATGAGTAAGACCTTGCTACTTTGACAATGAAGTTGAACATGGAAATAGGAAAAAGCCCAGCAGGAGACCTGGGCTCTGGTTCATTTTGTGTTCCCTGGGTGCCCATGGGTAAGTCATATCTTTTCTTTGAGCCTGTTTTCTTATCAGTAAATAAAAATGGCCTGTACTAATACCTCCAACATTGTGACTCTGCTTATAGATCCCTCTGGCCAAATATCCTTGGTGTCATCATTTCATTTCAGTCCAGACTGTCAGGGGTATGAAAAGTATTAGAAGGGGTTGGAAAGGATTAGACTTGAGACTAATTTTTTTTTTTTTTTTTTTTTTTTTTGGTACCGGGAATCAAACTCAGGACCTTGTGCTTCCTAGGCAGGCACTTATGCCACTGAGTTATACCCCCAGCCTGAGACTAATTTTTGAGCAGTTTTAGGACTGCACAACTTAGAATGAGTTCTTATATGCTTGTTTACGCACACGTGCACACACACATCACACATCCAGTATCCCTATTAACATC